TCCCCTTCCAGCCTCTCACCCGCGGCAATGGGAAGGAGGTCTGGCTGACTTTGGCCTTGCAGAGCGGCAAATGTGCCCGGGAAGTCACTGACATGATGATACTGCCAACAAAAGGAGAGACGTCAAGCACTTTGTAGCAGTCTGAGCGCTATCAGACACCCTGACGCCCTGGGAGACGGGTTTGGGTCTGGGAGATCTGGTGTTTTATATTTCCTACACTCCTGCTGCCCACATCTGGAGGATGCTGGTGGCCACATGTGCAACTGCTGTAACAAAAGGAGGAGAGGAAAAACCCTGGGAATTCTCTGCTGCTTTGGCTGTTGACCGATTAAGTAATATGCTGAGTCTAATTTGCCATTTAACTGCTGGCAAAGTCACTTTATTGCATCATGTTTTCTCCTTTTCAGAGCTCAGTTTGCTAAATATCTCAGGCTCTGCAGCGTGGAGACATAGTACAAGTGCTGATGGCAGGTCACGGTGAGAATAAACCATTTCACGGCTTCGTCACAGAGAAAGCGAGGAATAAGTTCCCGTTGAAAGGAAGTGGATATTTGCCAGCAGCATGTGCAGAGCACCCGAGGAGATGCTGCTTAGCTCTGATGGGACGAGCCTGGCCCTCGGCTTCGGCTTGGACACCAGAGTTGGGGTGTCTGCAGAAGGCAGGGTTTGTTGTCTGCCACAGAGCTGCCGTTTTACCTAATGGTAAAACAGCAATAATAATAATAATAATAATTCCTGCCCCCTCTGAGTGCTGACTTCAAAGTGTTAAATACACCTTAGTCCTCAGTTGGATAGAGGAATTTGCCACCTGTAGAAGGATGGCTCAGTCAGTTTGCACAGGGGTATCTTATATCAACCTGCGATCTTAGGTCAGCAGGTTTACCAATGCCAAGCCCAGGAGGATCGCGGCTCACCCAGCCTGGCTTTCCTTGTATCACAGCTCCAGGAGAGTCTGCACAAAAAGTCTGCCTCACCGCTGAAAACGGTGAAATCCATGACACAGGAATGCAGCCAGGTGGCACCTGTGCTCCGTCCCCGCTCCCAGCGGAGGCGCTGGGGCTCTTTCCGTGCTTCCCGGTTGAGGCACGTCCCTTGGTGGCACCTAGAGCACCCGGTTCAAACACGGGGCCATCCTGGAAACCCCTTCGCAGTGCTTGCCAGAAAACGGAGAATTGTTTCATGTTGTTACATATGTAGAGACTTCTGCCATGTCTTGCTTCTAGTGCTGTTTTTTCTACGCAGCTGTCAAGGAGGTGAGAACGTAAGAGACACCAAAATCATTTTTTTCAGCTGAAGAAAGGGGCTGTTCATGTGGTCAGGACTACGTTTAATCGCCATCTGCCCAGCCCTGCACTGGTGTCTGGAGCTACATTTACATTCAGCGCGGGCTTGTTCCCATTAGACCCAGATGTCCTCTAATCTTGAAGCCAAATGTTCAGTGGCAGGAGTGATTCTGTGTTTCCTCTTTAATCCCTTGCAGGCAGACAGCCAGGTCGACCTGGTTCGGCAGCATTTTTACGAAGTCTCCCTCGAGTACGTCTTCAAGGTGCAAGAAGTGCAGGAGAGGAAGATGTTTGAGTTCGTGGAGCCTGTAAGTGGCCGTTCAGACGCCTGGTGCCTGCAAAACCTTCCTGTCTGGCATGCTGTTTTCCTGGCTGCTTGTTGGAAACGATGGGAGATGTCGTCCCTTTGCTGGAGGGAGAAGGGCAGGACAGTGCGAGTGGCACCTGTGCGTGGTGGCCCTGCAGGCAGGCACGGCTCCTTGGCCCCGTCCTGGGGTGGCACCGACTGCCTGTGGCTGCATTGCAGCAAAGACAAGCAGAAAAGCTGCTAGGTCTTCAAAAGTTCCTCTGGGAAATGTACAATCTTCTCTGCTGTTTGCAAAAAGTAATTCCATTTAAGTGAAGAATAAAGCAAGGTTAAGAAAGCAGGACTTTGGGCCTGATGTTCACAGCCAGCCTTGACCTGCCCTTGGAGAAGCGAGTGCTCAAGTATTGCAAGGAGGGAGGAGGAGAGCGAGGCAGGGCAGGGGAGCCTTGCTGTGCGTTATGTATTTATTATTTAAAGTGCATTATATATTTATCATGTAGTGTGCATTATGCATTTATTATTTAATGAGCATTATGTATTTATTAATACGAGATGGTTCCAAGTGGGTTTTTTGAGAGCTCGGGGGATGCTTGGCTGGGAGCAGGGGTGGCAGTGCTCGGTGGGGCACACGTCGCCCCTGGGCAGGGCACCCTCGGGAGCCACTGCGGGTCCCCATTGACTGTCTCTGTCCCTCTTCCCTGTGCAGCTGCTGGCCTTTCTGCAGGGGCTCTTCACCTTCTACCACCACGGCTACGAGCTCGCCAAGGACTTCAGCGATTTCAAGACAGAGCTGACCATCAGCATCCAGAACGTAAGGGCAGGGGAGACAGGCGGCCTGGCCACAACAGCCTGACAGAGCAAGCCGACACTTCTTTGCTCTATTTTAATTAGGATTTTATGATATGCCATCAGCCAGGAGGTTTGACAGTAATTGAAAGCAATATTATTTTTGGTAAATAATGCTACATCGTGCAGGCAGCCTAAATGACCATTTATTCCATATGGTGCTCCAAACACAGAGCTGCAGACTCTCTTGGGAGCAGCTGGCCCAGCATCATGGCGAGCGCCAGAGCTGCAGGGAGTGTTTCAGAGCGCTTTGCAAGTGTTGCAGAGCGCTGCTTGTCTCAAGAAGTGCCATGTTTCCTGCTGCCTGGTCTGCAGGGTGGCTGAGTTGTATGCAGCCCCTGGCCCCGCAGCCGGCCAGGGTGGCACCCCGCAGCGTGAGTGGCTGGGGCAGCATCGTGTCCGTGCGAGGGGATGAACCCCCGTGCTGCCCTGGGGTCTCTGGTGGAAGACTGTGTGGAAATTCATGGACTTGTTCTAATGCAGCCTTTTGTGTGAGCTTGAAAGTGCCCTAGAGTGTACGTTTGAGGCTCAGGAAGGACTTGTGTTGCCTTCTTTTTTTCATGGAAGGCTGCAGAATTTATTGAAGCTGTCTCAACTTGCAGAATGGAAAACCACAAGATAGGAGAGTCACTTCCCAGCTCGCTCTTTAGCGTGTTTGGTTCTGCACTGTCCGCGGCTGCTGCAGGGTAACATGTGCCTGTGTTAACTTGCAGACCAGAAATCGTTTTGAGGGAACAAGGTCGGAGGTTGAATCATTGATGAAGAAGATGAAGGAGAATCCCCATGAGCACAAGAACATCAGCCCATACACCATGGAGGGTTACCTCTACGTGCAGGAGAAACGTAGGTGGCGGTGCTGGTGCGTCCCACGCTCTCTTCCCAGGCGCCCGGTCGGAGGCAAATGCAGGGAATGTGGAAGGCAGGAGATGCAGACTCGTTTAGCAAACAGCAAAGTCTCTGCAAGAGAGTTTGGACCAACGGGTGGGATATTAAGATGTGAAACTGGGAGACAGATTCTCCTTGTGAGTCTCCAGCAGTGACTGGTAAACTCTCCTTCAGCTTCCCCTAATCAAAATGGGGATAAGAACAGTTTTCTGCCTGTAAAGCCCAGCCCGAGCCATAGGGACGGTAATCTGTTATGTTAAGTGATCGTGATGTGCAGGTTATTAGTGGGAGTGCACTAAAGCTGTACTGTTTCTGGGAGTAAAAACTTGGTTTGTTTTGCAGGTCACTTTGGGACCTCCTGGGTGAAGCACTACTGCACGTACCAGAGGGAATCGAAGAAGATAACGATGGTACCATTTGACCAGAAATCTGGAGGGAAAGGGGTGAGTGCAGTGATGCAGCAAGACTGCACATAGCTGCGCACAGGAGAGGTCCTGTCCTGCACAGAGGAACCTGCTGTCAGGCCCAGGGAGCGATTCCCCCTCCAGCGCGCACAGGGCCCCAGTGGCCCCATCCTCTTCTCTCTCTGTCAAGCTCAGACTGAAACCATTTGTGGCAAGGTGGCAAAAATGCAAGTAAATGGGGTCAAATTCATTCCAGACAGAGCAAGCAGCACATGGGGAAGGACCTCTGTGCCTTGCAAGGAGGAAAATTCTCTGAGAAACAGCAGCTCTCCTGCAAGCAGAGCTGTCATTCCCAAGTGAGCAGTGCCCTGCTGTCATGGTGCTATTTTCGCTCCTGTACCTTGTGCCTCCCTGAGCTTCTGTGAAATGCCCCAAGCCCCTGACTATGGGTTGCTGCAGGATGTTTCATGGGGGCTCCCCCATCCCGGGCTGCCTGTGTGGAATTACCCTGCACCGGTGGCTGCATCCGCAGCCATGGGGCCAGCGCCTGCTCTGCAGCCAGTGAGAGCCTGGGCTTCTGCCTAGAGCGGGAAGCGGCCCACAGTGCGGATGGGCCCGCGGAGGGCTCTGCGTTATCAGCCTCTTCCTAAAGCACCTCGGGCTGCGGCTGGAGCCGGATATTAGTTGGCTAACCCGTGGCGTTCCTCGAATGCCAGAGGAGAGTGGGGCTCCAGGGCCTGTGGGGCAGGCGCAGGTAGCCCTGCCTTGCAGAGAGCCTTGTAGAGCTCCCCCAGACCTGCCCAGCCATTTGGGTCCCTCATACACTGCCAGGGAACAGGGTGGTCAGCCAAGGAGTCCTTGCGAGCAGCACAGCAAGCGCAGAGATCGGCCCTCTGCAGGAACTCGTTCAGAAATTTATTTTCTATTGAGTCATCGGAGGATTTTTAAAATTGCAGCCGGCAGTGCTCACAGGGTGAGCAGAGCAGTGCGGTGTGTGCCGGCATGGGCAGATCCCTGCGCTGCACGTGGAAACCCAGTGTAACGGGCTATGGATGCCTGGATGGGAGCTGCATTTTGTCACTGCTTTGTTCCATAATAAACATTTTAAGACGTGTTTGCTCCCCTTAAGAGTTCTTGTGTACAGACTGCTGCCAAAAATGCAGCCAGCTCTGGAGTGCAAATTGACAGCTAGAACTTTGATACACTGTGAGCACTGGAAAATAAAGCTGACTTTGCCCCAAAATTGTGGTCCCGCACTCTCTGGCGGCCTGAAGCCTGGCTCATGGGATGCTTAATGCAGGCAATTTAATCATGTTATTGTGTGCGGTCAGGAAAAAAAGGTGCTTGTGCATGAAACCATCCTCAAGGGTAAAAGGGCAAGTCCTCATTCCAGATATATAAATGTGTGCTGCTCACAGGTGGGGATTTGCTGAGGCTGCCAGACCTCTCCTTGGGGCTGACCGTGCAGATGGCGAGCGCGCTGCGGGCGGACCAGGGAGCAGGGTTGGGTGTTCTCAGCCCCGGGTACAATCTTGTGTCTTCTTAGGGAGAAGATGAAGCCGTGACCCTCAAATCCTGCACGCGACGGAAAACCGACTCGATCGAGAAGCGATTTTGCTTTGACGTGGAGGCAGTGGACCGGTGAGTGGACGGGACGTCGTGGCTCGGGAGCACCCATCTTTCCTGCGGGCTCCTTGCCCCGGGGCCGAGGCCGCCCGAGCTCAGCTGCTTTCCTGGAGCACTCCATGCAATCCCAGCAGGATTTGTCTTGCCCTTTGGCCGCCCCCTTCATGATGGAAACCATCGCTCTGTGGCCGTGAACTTCTCCTGGTGCCTCCAGCCAGGTGCTCTCGTACGCTGAGCGCGGGCTGTGTTTTACAAGGTGCTGAGTTTACTCAAGTCTCTCACTTTAGCAGTATGTAGCACTTTTGCAGACTCTGACCACGTCAGGTACAAGGGCATGGAGAGGACACTCTGCACGTGTTTTGGCGTACATGTGACCTCTTTGCAACAACGAGTGTGTGTCTACATCACCTTGGCTGTTAAGGCAGAGCCCACTGTGGCCCTGCGCCATGGATGGGGACAAGGGAAGTCACGACTGCAGCTCTTGCCCAGGGGCTGCAGGCTCAGGGGTGCCTGTGTCTGTGGTTGCCTCCAGCAGCGGTGGAGTTAGAAACTCAATGTCTTGTTTTGAGCCTCGAGGAGGAAGCCTGAGTGTGATTAAGCAAACAGCCCCCAGGACGGTCGTCTGCCCCACATCTGTGCTCTACTTTGGCTTGCAGACGCCTTCTCCTTTCTTTCTGTGTGCAACTTAAAGGCAAAAATTAGTGTCATCAGGAGAGCCCTGTGCTGGGGGATGCCCTGTGGGTGCGTT